TTCTGTGCATGACCGCGGTCGACCGTCACGGTCGACCGCCAAACCTGTCAACTGTTCCTGAGCCCAAACAACTGCCAATGAGCCATCCAATGCGATCTACACCATACGCTCGTCGAACTTATGATTCTCTATCTCGAATCTACAATTCTCCACCTCGACGAACGTTCTGCCAAACTGAGCCGACACCAACCAAACCAATGCCTCACTTGTTGCATCCAGTACGCCATGGCAACGGATTCTTGACAACGAACCCCATCCACAACATGTTGAGACCCAAACGGGAGTGCGAACACTCACCCCAAACAACTGTGTCTACTCACCAAATCGGCTGCATCAAAACTGACTGCCTACGTATCCTCTCCAAGGAATCAAGCCTTCACGTAGTTCACCCAATGGCCTCCAAAGGCCCTCAGTCCAAACTGCGACTGATAGCATCATCAACGACCCCAAACTGAAACGATCCAAACACCTCCACCTGAGGTGAAACAATGGCCGTATCCAAGCTATATCCACCAGCTGCACACGGATCTACCAACTCGTCATCCGCATCCGTATCCAAATGGCTCCCACGCTGTGCCACCTCAGCTGGAAAACCCAATAATACAGAATGACCTGGAGTATGTGGAGTAAGCTCCACCCAATGTGGAGTAGCATCACTCCACCCGCTACGGTATCCCTCTGATCTGATCAATACCCTCTACCTGCCAAGAGTCCAAAATGACAAACCTGCGCAGACCAAACTCAGAAGCTCCCAACTGATAGCCGAATGAACTCCTGAATCCCAAATGCACAATCGGATCCAATCTCACATCAACGATGTGACCAAGTGCTGGGTAGCCAAATATCCGACGTCGATCAAACCCTGAAGCAGCTCCATCAGATCTAACAACTCTACACGCAGCAGTCGGCAACCTCATAAGATGGCTCAAACATGTCAAAGCCTGAATACCAAATCCACTACTCGACAACCAACGCCGATCCTCCTCCAGAAAAGAACGGCCCACTAGATCCGCCATCTCATCACGTCGTCCCACTGTCTCCTCTCCTCTGAAGTGTCTCCAACTGCCATGAACTCGGCACCAATGCAAGAAAGAACCCTTACTAGAAATAGTACGACAGGTAACATTTCTGCCCATACACCTCCTCCAACTGTTGCGGACTACTAGGACTTCATACCAATGGGACTTGGTTGCAACCCATATATGTCTAGTACAATCCCCAACATAGAAAACAAAATACTGATTACCTCCCAATGATGCCTCCATGGAAGGCCCCCCAATGCCTGACTGAACATCTCCAATAAGACCACTCGATCGATGGATAAACATGCTGAACTTCACCTCGGTCTTCTCGCTCATCCCAATGTGCTCACAGGACTTCAATCTGCAGGTCATAGCACTCCTCACCGACCTATGCACGGCATAACCAATAATATACCCCAGCACCAAACAATGCCACAGTCTAGCCAAAGAAGTCGTCAGCGCTCTATCAATCACTGTGCTCCCAAGCAGATAATACAAGTTACTTCTCCTGACGCCCTTCATCATAATCATGGACCCCGATGTGACCTTCAAGCGAGAATCCGTCAAGGTCACCCTATAGCCTGCTGTCTCCAATACCCCAAGTGAAATGATGTTCTTTCTTGGTTAAGGAATGAACCTCACATCAAACAACTCCTGAATCATCCCGTTACTCGTCCGAATCCGAACAGTACCAATACCACCAATAGGGCATCTATGATCATTACCCATAAGAACAACATCCCCTCTTTCCAACTCCTGAAAGCTGGAGAACCAATCCCTCTTAGGGCATATGTGGTAAGTAGCACCCGAATCCAACATCCACTCGGTGGAGTCGGCAACACCAACTGATGGAAGAGCTGGGCATGAATAGCCTGAAGAATCTGAATCTGAAACGCCACCACTTGCCTTGGTAACATTCACCTCTAAAACTTGAATAGCTTTCCCCTTATTCTTCCTGGCTTGCAATTTTGGGTATTCGACTTTCCAATGTCCATCCTCTCTACAAAAGGCACACTGATTCCTACCAACTGCAGGATGCCTCCCTCTAGACTACGACCTCCTACCACGGTTTGGACTTCTAGCTCTTGCAACCAATGCCCTCGCAACCGGCTCAATGGAAGTCTCCTTGTCCTTCTTTCGAAGTTGATAATTCACAAGAGCTGCGGTGACCTCACTATACGAAAGAGATGCCTCCCATTAATAAGAGTGAGGACGAATGTCTCATATTCCTCGTCGGGCAAGAAACTCAATAACAACAATGCCTTATCTTCATCTTCAACTATAACATCTACATTCGCCAAATCTGTAAGTTGCTTCGTGTAGTGGTTCATGTGATCACTAATGGATGTCCCCTTCTTCAATTGGAAGCGATAAAGCCTCCTCTTCAAATGCAAACGATTTTCGACGCTCTTCGTCAAATATTTGCCCTCTAGGACCTCCCAAATCTTTTTTGCTGAAGTCTCATTCATCACATCATTTTTTAGATCTTGAGTGAGGCAAGACCTAATCACACCACACGTCGTTCTATTCATTTTATTCCAAACCTTATCATCATTGTCGGTCGGTTTCCCGTCCAACTCCAACGTATCTTCCAAATTTTGCGCATTTAGCGCATCCATGACTTCGCATCGCCAAAGTCCAAAATTATTTGTGCCGTTGAACTTTTTCACATCTATTTTCATAGAATGTATATTCAAACTTTGGACGACCTTCACACTAGAAGAACCCTCCTCATTTTTATCTTTTTCGGTCATATATCTTAAAGCACCCAAACTATTGCGGAACAAACAAGAAATAGATCCAACTTAAAAAAGATAGAAACTTTACCACAAAGATCCCACCTTTATCACCAATCGAAGCTCTAGATGAACTTCCCAACTGATCTACACCTCCAAAAAGCCCAAGCGTTGTCTGGAGCTCTGATACCACTTGTTGGGGAGAAACCCCTATGTCGAGATCCAACCAAATAGCCAAGAGAGATAAACCACACAACCAAAAGATAGCACAAACAATTAAACACCAGATTTTACGTGGTTCGGCGAGATGTCTACATCCGCGGGGCAAGGAGGGGGGAGTTTTCACTATTAGAAATCAAGGGGATACAACTAGGGTTACAAATCTCTCATAAACCCTCAACAAATTAGCTCTTGATCTCACCAATTGCTCCTAGAATAGAAGCCCAAAGAAAACCCTCTCAATCTGCTCAAAACCCCTTGCTTACAAACCCTAGAATCGAGTTTGGGTATTTATAGAAAACCCAAACGAAACGGGTCTGGAAAACAGACCCAGCACAACCGTGGCGGTCGACCGCGCCAGATCCAAACGCACAGCCAGTTCTGTGCACGACCGCGGTCGACCGTCAAACCTGTCAACTGTTCCTGAGCCCAAACAACTACCAATGAGCTATCCAATGCGATCTACACCATACGCTCGCCGAACCTATGATTCTCCATCTCGAATCTACACTGGTTGGGGTCTGCTAGTTTTGTTGGAACAACCTCCTGTATCACGGCTCATTTCACTGGATCTGATTTAGAGATGATAAATTTTGCATCTGTTTTATTTTCTTCTGATTGACTCTTAACGTTGATTTTTGCTGTCAGCTATCTGTAGACCAAAATTGGAGATGCTGCCGAGGGAGGAAAGAAGAAGACAAGAAGTGAATGGACTCTTTGCCTGCTCTGCTGTATTGTGTCTCCTCTTTATGTTCCTTTTGCGTTCAGTTTAGTAAATGAAAATTTCAGGTGTGACGTATCAAATTTTATTTTATTTTATTATTTATTTTTTTGGAGTGTTGAGTTAGACCATTGAGAAGATCATTCAAACCATTTTTGAGTTAATCAGGAGAAATTTTGGCTGAACACTTTTTATTAGTTTGTTAACAAACTAATCCCCTAGTTAATAGGAAGTTAGTTCTTTCCCATGGGTTTGCTCAGTTCGTAGGCAATGTCAGGAAATGATTTTCAACATGCTTGGTTAAGTTTTTGTCTACTCACTCATGCCCATTTGTTCTCTGCTCAATCATGCTCGGATTTAAATGTCTGCTCGCTTTTCATGTGCTCAACGATGTTGTGTTCCGAGCGGTAATCAGTATTTGCTTTGTGAATCGAAAAGATTCTATTTTTTCTTGAATTTACCGGTTTTGAGATGGAAAAGGCTTGTTTATTTATTAGCTATTTCTCTTGCTGGACGGTAATTCTGATAAATCATAATGCCTTTCTCTATGAAGTGCAGATTCTCTGTTGGTCAAAGAACTTTGTAGGGTCAAAGAACTTTGTAGGAAGTTATTGTCGGAATCCTTCAATCTAAGCCCGAGTCAAAAGAGTGTTTGTCGTCTCGGGGGGTAATAGTTCTTAGGCTGTTCACTGTTGCTTTCCACATTGTTGAATTAATTTTCTACGGATTATCCAGCTGTTTTTGTCGGAGGTGATTACATCAT